AGTAGTGCACAGAAAACAGGAGTGCATATATCTGTTTGTGTCCCTGCTGTTAAAATCTCTGGGTTATACTCTAGGAGTGGAATTATTGTATCAGAAGGCAGTTGTGCTTTTAGTTTTTGAAGAAGCGCCATGCCATTTTTCACAGTGGTCAGACCATTTTATCATCCTCCTACCAGTGGTCCAGTCTCCTCCCATCTTTACTCACATGGGTTTTGTTTTAATTTTGTAATTTTTTTTATACTGACATTTTTATTACTTTCTAGTTTTCATTTTAGGAGAGAGGAGATGATCTCTCAATGCTGTATTAATTCGCTTCTTTCTCTTTAATGGCTAATGAGGGGAGCTCTGGTGACATTGTAAGGAGTTGTACTGCCATCCCAAAGGTGGTACCTCTTCTGTGCTTTGAATCTACTGTGGGAGAAAGATACCCATCTCTTCCCATGTGATTTACAGCCCAGACCTGCTGGAGGGTCAGCTGTGAGTCATTTCCAACTTGATGGCGAAGAGGGAGTGAGTGAATGGCTAATGATGTGATGCTGGCCACTTCAGTGTGCTCTTGGGTGATGTATCTATCTCTTCATGCCTTTTCCATGTTAATTAGGTGTTTATCTTTTTGTTATAAAGTCGTTGAAGTATATATTTCTATATACTGGAGATTAGATCTTTATCGGTTATGTCGTTCTCGAAGATTTTTTTTTTCCAATCTGTAATTTGTCTTTTTTTTAAAAAAAGACTGGTCTATTTTTGAGTAGCATACCAGCTGAGGTTTAAGCCAGGGGAATGAGTTCTGGCTGGGTCTGGGGAAGCGAAGGCCTAGAACTCATTGTTCTGACAAGAATAACAGCTGAGGCTCCCAAGCACACTAACCAGATACACCCGAGTTGCTAATAATACTAACTGTGACACACCCCAGTGTTTTCTGTGTGCCAAGCAGCGTACACCAGGTATTCTCACAGAATCTTCCCTATGGCTCCAGGAGGCCGTTGGCCAATTAGTGAAAACCAGATAGAGAACATTCTCTTTACAGGTTGAATAATTAGCCTGTGAAGAAGTTGGGATTTGATTTCAGAGCTGGAGCTCTTAACTGTTCTGATGGTCTCCATTATCACAGATTGAGGGCATCCTTTGAGGCAGACCCCGAGGGTATCCTGGCTGAAGCACAGCAAGGCAGTGGGAGGGCTTCCTGCTTTGGGAATGCTAGGCAGAGACCCTGCATCATTGCTCCCTGTCCCATGGTGAGACTCGCTGCTGTAGGACTGCTCTGATGTCACGCCTCAGCTCAGCCCCTCCTGGGCTTCCCCTGGGGGCTCGAGATAGGTGTGCTCAGCACCGAGCCTGGTGCTAAAGGTCATCGCTTCTCTAATCAGACCCGCCCAGGCTGTGTTACATGATGTTGGCCAGTGTACTCCATTTCCCTGGCTTTAGAGTGAGGATATATGAGTTAATGCGCATAAATCGCTTAGCATAGTGCCTAGGGCCCTTATCAGGCACTCAGTTATTGGTAACTTCATCATTCCATGTTGGGCTGCTAACCAAAACGTTGGCAGTTTGAACCCACCAGGGGCTCAGTAAGAGAAAGTCTGTGCCTGCTAAGATTTTAGAGCAGAAACCCTGACAATCACCGGGAGCTGGAATTGACTAGATGGCAATGGGGTTTTGTTGTGTAAACATTTTGTCATTAGCCAGCGGTTCATGGGTCAGGGAGACCTTCAGTTTAGAACACTTGATGTGCTTGCAGGGCTGGGCTCCATCATTGAGGATGGCATTGGGGAAACCCTGGGACCAAAAATACTTCTCCAGAGATAGAGGCTTTCACCCAAGGGAGACTGTTGGGTGGTAATCGGAGAATGGGCTCCACTCCCTTTCTCTTCTGAAATTGCTGTCCTTTAGATTGAGTCCCCCACTTGCCACAGAGCTGGAGTTAGGGGCATTTCACAGACGAGGCCCAGGATAGGAGAAAGGGACTCGCCCTTCTGGCATCTGTCGAAATTGATTTTCCTCTCTGGTTTTACATCTGCTGGGCCAGTTAAAAGCCTTCGGGTTCCAGCTGGTTCTGCGGGCATCAGGTCATCACAGATGCTCTGCAAAAGGAGGGGACATGGTGGGGGTGAATTTTGTACATGGGGTTAGGGCCTCTCTGGGAGCTCCATCTGTTCTGTCCCTTCTGATGGCCTTGGCGCCAGGGTCTGAAGGAAGCAGCTAGAACGAAAGCATGTGTCCGATGAGAGCAAGGGTGAAGGATGAGATGGTGGGTAGAAAATCTTCTTAGCTCGCTGGGTACCAGGCCTCGCTCAGCAGCACAGCCTGGTGAGTCAGCGTTCGGGGAATTAGTGGCCAGTCTGTGAGCATGTGGGGCTTGTGGAAGTTTAGGCCTTTTGTTTCTCTCAGAACTCTTCGTCTTTAGAAACACAAATCTGGACGCCAGCCCTCCACATGGAACAGCCCCATTTGTTTTGAGATAATTCAACTCCAACAGTTGCTTCATTTGTGTGTTAGCTTTCCAAGAATTAACCCCTTTAAAAATTTTATCAGCTCACATTTTGCTTACTTGAAACAAGGACTTTTTTAAAAACTTTGTTCAGATCTGTAATCTTCCATATCAAAACTGTAGGTTTGAGGTGTGAATTGTGTTTGTGTGGATTTTTTTTTAAATAACATTTTTATTTACTTAAAAATTTGTATACATTGTTTTTCACACTAGATCTTTCCTATTTCCTTTACCCACCCCTCCCTCTGCCCATCAAATTATGCGACCCTATGATTACCTCCCTGCCCATCCTCACCCCTTTGCTCCTACACTCCCTTCTTGGATCCTCATACATATTTTACTAGTTACCTTTCTGTCTCTACAATAATAGTCTTATACAGTATTTGTCCTTTTGAGACTGAGGTAGTTCACGTAACATAATGCTCTCCAGCCTCTCCCAAGTTAAGGTAGTGATTTTCAAAATTATTGCTCCTGTGTGCTGCGCAGTATTCCATCAGGTGAATATACCATAATTTCTCAATCCATTTGATTGTGGTTGGACATTTGGGCTGTTTCCATGTTCTTGCAATAGTGAACATTGGTGTACAAGTCTACATTTGTGCCTCAGTTCTCTTTTTATTGGGGTATATTCCAAGCAGTGGAATAGCTGGGATATATGGAATTTCTATGCTTTGCTTTTTTTGAGGAAACACCAAACTGCCTTTTGGAGTGGTTGTACCTTGAGTTGTGGTTTTGTTGTTTTTTTTTTGGTTTGTTTGTTTGTTTTTTTGAGTTGTGTTTTTAACACTGCACTCCATGAAGCATCAGGTCTTTCAGGGACATGTATTGTTTTTATCGTATATTCTTTTTGAGAGTGTAGGATGGGTCATACCCTGATAGAGTCGTCCCCACACCTGGAAGACAGATTCTGATCATTTTTAGCTTGCACAGTCACAGCTTGGTCTTGGAGGAAATTAATTTCTCCAGGTACCACATGGAGAGAACTAAACACGACAGGGGTAGTGTAAAGCTCAGGAAGGCCTGCAAGCCACTCCTCTGCCCACCCTGTGCCCACCCTCTGCAGGCTGGATCTTGGTCGCTCTTGCCCATTCCTTAGAGTCAGCCAAGGGAGTGCCTTGTCTTTTCTCTGGGCTTGGCCTTCTCTGCTACACTTCTGCCTCCTGGTGGTGTTAACTGCCATCAAGCATCCCCTTCCCCACTCTTAGCAACCCCAGGCACAATGGGGCAATTCATACACTATCTCTAAAACCAATTGTGATCACCCCACTTTAATCCATAGCTTTTTCACCAACTGATTTTTGTTAATTAGATCACCAGGTTTTTCTTCCTAGTCTGTCTTAGTCCAGAAGGTCTGCTGAAACCCATTGAGCACAGAAACCTAGAAGCTTCCACTGACAGGGCGAGTAGCCACCCAAGGAGGTATAAGGGCCAGGACCTGAATCTGGTGTCCTAGAGAGAAAGCAAGAATTCTCCACTGGACCACCACTACCCTGACACTAACAGAGTGCCTTAAAGAGTCTGTCAGGTAGAAGCACAGACTTTGTACTTTTTGCTCTAGCAGTTGCACAACCACCACCACCTGCCATGTAGTGATCTTGCCCAGGCAGTTGAGCTGCCCTTTTAAAGGAAAGATGTCCCTTCATGGCCTGAGCGGTGGTTTGTGTACATGACTCACACTTGGTGTGCATGGATGTGTGTTCTCTGGACCACTGCACCTGGGACCTGTGGGCGCGACACAGAGATGTTGAGAGACTAGAATCAGAATCCTTGGCTTGGAGTATATAAGTAGGCAGGAAGGTTGGGGATGGGCACTGGACCTGAGTGTTGATAGCCCCAGAAAGAAATTTGGATAAATCGGATCAAATTTTGCAGGGCCCTGCAAATCCTTCCTGTCATCTGCAGGTCCTTCCAGGCCTGTCTAGCTGTGTTGGTTATACCCACCGCTTCCCCCCATACTCATCCTACTTAAAAAGAAAACCTGGCATTTCAGACTTATAGAACTGGAAGGTGAACCTTTGCTTTGCACCTTCTGGCTCAACCCAGGTTCAGATAACTTTCTCATGTGATGACAAGTTGGCAAGACACACTTCCTCTGGAGTGTTTCCTGGCAGAGCCGCCGTCTTCCCCTGATGCGTTCTGCACATGAATCAGCCTCTTTGTAACATATGTTACCGTAAGAATTTTAGGCATTTCCTTTATTAGTTTTCCATGTGTGCCCATACCACTGGAAAACTGCATTTCCAAGGTGAAGGTACAGCGCCAGCTTGTGAGGGAGGGGATGATGGACATCCCCTGCTGTGTTGTCGGCTCATTGACAAGTTGGAGCAGTGGCAGGCAGTCCCCGGAGCGTAGTGCCCACACCTCATTCCTCTTTTCTGGAAGTGACTATTCTCTGCTTTCCCTCCAGGTTGGTTGGCTCCTCTGGCTGATGGCATGTTGAGGCACATGGGCCAGCGGCCGCGAGGGCATCTGATCCCGAGGGGGCCATTCTAGAGGCCAGGCCACCAGCACCATGGGCCAGTGTGTCACCAAGTGCAAGAATCCCTCATCAACCCTGGGCAGCAAGAACGGAGACCGTGACCCCAGCAGCAAATCACACAGCAGGCGGGGCGCAGGCCACCGCGAGGAGCAGGTACCAGCCTGTGGCAAGCCAGGTGGGGACATCCTTGTCAATGGGACCAAGAAGGTGGAGGCTGCCACCGAGGCCTGCCAGCTGCCGACGTCCTCGGGAGATGCCGGGAGGGAGTCCAAGTCCAATGGCGAGGAGTCTTCCTTACAGAGGTTGGAAGAGCTGTTCAGGCGCTACAAGGACGAGCGGGAGGATGCAATTTTGGAGGAAGGCATGGAGCGCTTTTGCAATGACCTGTGTGTTGACCCCACGGAATTTCGAGTGCTGCTCTTGGCTTGGAAGTTCCAGGCTGCTACCATGTGCAAATTCACCAGGTTAGTCCAATATTACATGTCACCAGGTGAGCCAAGGAGGAAAGAGAACACCGTTGGGCAATGGTGCCCACCTAGGATGTAACTGGGTTGGATTCATTGGGGTTTGGGTAAGTCTCTTTTCTATTTCTGACCAATTTTTCTCTAAAGCTTAACTATTTTGAACTAAAACTCATGCTTCTCAGCCAGAGACTTTTTTTGTTGGGTTTGGGGTTTTTTTTGTTTTCCTTTTTTTAAAAAAATTTCATTTAAAAAAAATTTAAACCTGGCTTTACAGACCTAATTAATAGGTGACTGATGGCATGTGATCCAGGCATTTAGAGTTTGACAAAGCTTCATAGCTGATTCTTGTGTATGCCGTGCTTCTTGCCGGAGAGTAAGTGTTTGTGTAGTTGGTAGGTTGAACTTCACCTAGATCATAGCATTACCAGGCAAAACCGAGTAACTGGGCATGGGCCACTTTGACCTGAAGTGAAAGGAGGAATAACGTAGGATATGCTTCATGCTGAGATGCTGTCCCAGCCCTCTGCTGTTTCAATTGTTTCTCACTCCATCACTTGCCAGTGCACTTACTATCTCCCTCAACTGTTCCTGGACACCTATGCCTATAAAGTGCCCCATAGTGCAGTGGTTAGAGCCCCTGGCTGCAAACCAGGTTGGTTTGAACCTACCCACTGCTAACGGGAGAAAATCATTGCAGTCTGCTTACGCTTAAGATGGGCAGCCTTGGAAATGCCACAGGTGAATTCTCTGTCCTTCCTGTACGCTCAGCGTGAGCCAGCCAGGACTTGGCAGCCAGGGGTTTGGTCTTTGGTGTTATGTGCCGAGGCCTGTGGTTGCCACGGCAGAGAATGCTTCTGGTGATAGTCCTGGGTCTCTCCACGAAGCCAGCTATCTTGTTGCATCTTCTGGTTCTTAGCACAAGGACACCAACTACAGTTGTAGGAGTCCTCCTAGGTCATTGTTGAAGTGGTTTGCAGAGAGCGTGAATAAGAACTGGTTTTGGAAATTATCTGAAGAGTTTCCAGGCCATGTGCCTGAGCAGTTACCCTCTCAGTCTCAGACCCTTCTCTTCTCTGGACACAGCAGGCTGTTGGAGAAGATGGTCCGTGGGAGCCACTTTGTAAGCTGAAAAGGTGTTACACAGATTTTAAAACTACTGAAACAGTTTTTTGTATTTTAAATCTGAGAATTTTGATGAACACTGGGCAAGTTCCCTAGGTGCATCCAGAACTTTCTCTTTGCTGCCCCCCGACTGGGCCATAAATGGATAGCGTGGAGGGAAAAAAGGGAAAGAAGACGACTCTCGTCTTGGGAGAACGAGGGTGCAGCTCAGTCACGTTGCAGATTAAGAGCAGGAAGCAGGAGACAATTTCGTTCTGGTTCTGGAAGGATGTATGATAAATGGATGGGTCTGTCAGTCAGCTGTCTGCCATGTGCCAAGCACTGGTAGAAGCAATTGTATGCTGTCGAGTTGGAACTGACTCATAGCTAACCCTCCTGTAGGTATTCAGAAGCTAGAATTCACATGGGAAGAGATTGCCCATCTTTCTCCCATGGCACCGCTGATTGCACATACGATCTTCTTGAGTCTTTCCCAAATCCTCCTGAACTAGTCTCCATTTGTCAGATGAGGAAGTTGGAATCCCCCGTGAGGTGGTCCTGCCCCAAACCCTTGTTCTCAGTCACTGTACTGTTGCTCTTCAGTGAGTGGTGGTGTTTGTAATGACTCTGTCTCCCTCCTCCCTGTTGCAGGAAGGAGTTTTTTGATGGCTGCAAAGCAATAAGTGCAGACAGCATCGATGGGATCTGTGCACGGTTCCCCAGCCTCTTAATAGAAGCCAAACAAGAAGACAAATTCAAGGATCTCTACCGGTTTACATTTCAGTTTGGCCTGGACTCTGAAGAAGGGCAGCGGTCACTGCACCGGGAAATAGCCATTGCCCTGTGGAAACTAGTCTTTACTCAAAACAATCCCCCCGTGTTGGACCAGTGGCTCCACTTCCTAACAGAGAACCCCTCGGGGATCAAGGGCATCTCTCGGGACACGTGGAACATGTTCCTTAACTTCACTCAGGTGATTGGCCCCGACCTCAGCAACTACAGTGAAGATGAGGCCTGGCCGAGTCTCTTTGATACCTTTGTGGAGTGGGAAACAGAGCGCCGGAAAAGAGAAGAGGAGGCAAGAGGTGCGTTCAGCTCAGGGCCCGAGGGCTTGTGTCCTGACGAGCAGACTTAGCAGCTAGGATCTGCCTGCTGCCCTGCGGCCAGCCAAGGAATTGGACCTTTCTGGAAATTCCTGAAGATCCGGATATTTTCTACTTTACACCTTTCTCTGCCTTGTATCTGAAAGGGCTCTAAAATGCTGTATCATGTTTTAGGCACTTTCTTCCCCCCACCCCCCTTTTTGTTTTATTATTTTGGTTATTTGTTTCATTTGGGGATCCCCGGATATTTGAACCTGGCTACATGTTGTGTATCTTTCTTTGAAGCCTTCAGATAGAATAAGCCTGCCATTTCTTGCACAGATTAGTTTGGTGGTTTATTTTTTGGGGTGTTTTGGTTTGTTTGGTTCCCCCCCCTTTTGTTGGTTTTTTGTTTTGTTTTATAAAGGGTGGGGTAGGGTGTAGAGCAGGGTGGGCTCGGATGGTTCTGTTGGATTAACATTACAAAATGATACAGTGCCAGATCTCCGTTTGCGTATTCTGTTTTTCAGGGCAGGCCTGTACTGTGTGTAGTGCTGTTTACATGGTTGGATTTAGGTTGTAATAATTCTTTTTAAAGATTCACACCGAGTTGAATAGCAGTGTTAACTGTTACCCATGTTGCATTAATTCTCAGACGAGTTCAAGCTCTTAGGGAGCCAAGGCCCGCCCAAGAGCTTTGATAGTCTGGTGACAACCCTCTTTTAAGCTAATTTCTCCGCAACCTTCCCCTTACCCCTCACTTCTTGCTCATTCCTCCTTTGACCTGTTGCATTTCATGTTGAGTTTACCCATCAGCATGCTGCCCCTGCCAGTCAAGTGAGCGGTTATTTGTTTAAGCGCATCGTACTGAGAACCACTTAAGCATTGAATGCAGAGAAAGCAGCGCTACCTCAGTTTTGCTGGAAGCAGACTTCCTTAAGTTTCTTTGATGAAGTCTCTATGTCTTCATGTTCTAAGTGGAAATTGGGGGTTTTTTGTTTGATTTTGTTTCTTCCCCCGCCCTCCCCCTTTCTCTTATTTGCCTCGGAGCCAAAGTTTCTGTTCCTGGTTGTCAGAAAACTTGAAGGAAAACTGTGGTATAGAGCTCTGCTTGAATTTTTCTTTCTTTTTTTAAAAAATATTTTAGTTTTTTGTTTGTTGGGTTTCCCCCCCTTTCTTTAAATATCATCAGCTTACTTGTCTGGCAAGTGCAGAAGCCTGGACCTGGCCTGAGCTCTGCCAAACAAATAAAGAAGTGTATTTAATAGTTAAACGTGTGCCCTTTCCCCTCTTGCTGCACCCATGTTGTCACTGAAGCCCCAGGAGTTATTTATTACCTTTTTTTTGTTAATGTCAGGCTCACTTGGGGTAATGTGATAACTGTTTAGGTTTACATGACCCTCCTCCTCCTTCCCCACACCCTAAATATGTATATATACATATATAATATATGTATATATTTTACCTATATAAAATATATATATACACATATATGTATCTATATTCCATTGTTTTCTTCACCTGCTAAAACTGGCCATAAAAGAGGGAGCTGTCTTCAGTAGACAAGTAGACGAGCGCCAGGGGATGCCAGAATGAAAGGCTTTTACGGCTGGATTTTGGAGCATTGTCACTAAAGAGGTGGATTTCCTTAGCCCTGGCCGCGCAGGTGGCCCAGGCCTCTTTAGTCACTGGCTCCGCAGGCCACCTTTGGCCACCATGCAGGCCTGAGGGGCTGACTCTGGTCCTCCCGAGGTTCAGTAGAGGGTCGTCTTTGTCTTTCTTACCATTTTCAAAACTATGTCCTCATAAAGCTGTACTGAGTAGCAGGAACTCATACAGTTCAGCTTCTTCTAACACTTGGGAACAGACTGAGAAGGGAATCTTTGAAATAAAGTCTTTTAACAATAGTTATACTCGTGAGGTAATGAGAAATTTGTCTGTTAATTATTTAGCGTTTCCTCTCCTGACACCCTCTGGTAACCCAGGGTGTATGTGTCTCATCCTGGGCGGGAACTTTGCATTTTGAGTCCATTTCTCTTTACAGAACTGGGCTCTGATATTTGCAAAGATAGCCATTCATGAAGTTTCTGTCGTCAGCATTTTTCTAAAATTGACATCAGCCTAGAGAATGTACTTGGAATTTGATTTTTTTCTTTTTGAAATCCTAACGCTGACAGTAGTCCCGTTTAGAGGGTTAAATGACAAACATTTAAAATCATACACAGAGGTAGGTTAGCAATACTTTTGGGAAGTTGGAGGGAGCCTCAGGCCAGGTGCCTGGCTTTGTTTTAGGTAAGTCAGACACAGTATCCATCTATGTGCGAGACAGCCTCTGAGGGCCCCAGCAGGTTCTGTGGGCTCAGCTGTAGTAAGGGTTCCCAGACTGTACTCTTCAGGAGACCGTATTCCCATCCAGTCAGTCTGCAGCCTCCCTTTCATGTCAATTCTGGATTGTTCAGAGTTGTATGAGGGAAAGGTAGGCTCTTTCATAGCTAGCCATGTGTCTGTTTGGTTTTTTTTTTTCTATCATAAAGGTATTTGGAGAAAAGAATCCAAGAGGAGGAGGAAGTGGAGGGCACTGGAGGAACTGGATTCCTCCCTGTCCTTTGAGAATTCTGTGCTTTAAAGCCCACTGCTGTTGATTCCAGCTCAAAGTGACCCGATAGGAGAGGGTAGAACTGCTCAGTGGATGTGTCAGCCTGAGGTTTTTATGGAAGCTGACTGCCACATCTTTCTCCTGAAGAATAGCAGTACCACCACTGTACCACCACAGCTCCTTTATTCCATCCATTAAAATCCACTGTCGTTGAGTCGACTCTGACTCATCATGGCCCTCCGCTGGGGTTCCTGAGTCCACAGGAGATGGCCTCCTTTCTCCCATAGTGCAGTTGGTGGGTTTGAACCACTGGCAGTTTGGTTAGTAGGGCTGCTTTATTCCATGCATTAAGTATACTATATAGTTGATGGATTTTTAAAAAAAAAAAACTATTCTGCTCTTTTCATGTGTGTGAGAGAGCGAGCGAGCGCATGCAAAGAGAGTGAATGTAGATCTGTTCTAACTCCTGGCTCTGCCAGGTGGTGTGTGAGTCGAGCTGGACTCCACCAGGTCTTCAGTGACTGCCCTTTCAGGAGTGGATGACCACCCAGGGAATTCCCTTGCAGCGAAGGAGCCATTAAAAAGGAATTTTAAAAATCCATTTTTAATAATCCATTTCTTAAAAAGATACACATGAGAAGCCACATTCAGTTCCCTGAAGCTGAACAAGGGATTTCTGCTGTAGTAGCTCTGGGTCAGTGCTTGGCTTTTCATCGCCCTAGGAAAAGGCTCCGAGGTGTGGATAGTATTTGCAGTCATATTCCTGAGAAATAAAAGCCCTTCCTTTTAAACAAGGGCCAATTTGTTCCTACCTGGTGATCAGTAATTCTGTGAAAGCAGCCAAATGCATGCCCCTCAGGTAGCCCCAGTGCCCTTCTGTTCCCTTCACCAACAGTGTATCTTCAGGGTGGTATGGAAGCGCAGGATGTGGATGCCAGTGTGCAGATCACTACCAGAAGGTCACCTTAGTAGGTTTTGAGAAATTCCTTGGGTTTTGGCAGATGGCTCTGTGAGCTTCTATGGTATTTCTTTAGCATTTATTAGGAAGCTGTTATGAGATGAAGTGTTGCTTCATTGAATTGCTTTCCCTTATCCCTGCCAGGTCTGAATGTGTCACTCAGAATCCGACTCCTGTAATGACTCTTTGCTGTGCTTCAGCTAACTGCTCCAGCAGCTGTCCCCCTCACCCCTGACAGATGTGCCCTAACACATTCTGAGTTAGGTCTAAGGCCCTATAACTCCCCTTCTGGTAAGGGGGGAAAAATAAAACTCTAAAAACTATGTAAAGATCTGAACTTCAACACAGTCCTTATACCTAAGGAAAATCCAGTTGAGAATGTACAAGGGAGGGAGAATTAGCCTTGAAAAGAAAGGATTAAGTGATAACAGTATTAATTGTTGAAAGTACTCATCTCCCAGGGCCTGGTGTTAAAATTCAGTCCTGAGTGCCATAGGCTGCAGAGTGGGACCCATAGCTGATTGGATGGCCTCATGTGCTATGCCAGATTGTAGCAAACGCTCCCTCTTGGCTTACCATTATTTAAAGTTAGGTCTTTAGTGCAAGGAAGTCCTAAGGTTGACCTCACTATAAGGTAAGGGCTGGAAGGAAGCTGCTGGGGTCTTTTCATTGTCTGCTTTGCCATTTGTCCTGTCTTTTGTGTTTAACTTGTGACGACTTTGACATCTTAGTATCTGACAAAGGTCTTCCTTAGGGGAACCCAGCAATATCTTGTTTAAACAGCTGAAAAGACATTTTATGGTTGAAGGGTAATTGGAACTCATCCGAGGACATGCTGTATTGATCATCTTCTTAGTCCACCTGTTCCACGTTTGAGTCAGATGGAGAGGTTCCCATCCCACTTCAGTTTATTCTCATGCTGAGCTGAAAGTCGAGCACATATCCATTTTAGCCTGGACAGGGACTGTTTTGGTGAGGTTAGGTTGTTTCCTAAATTTTGAAAGGAAAAACCAAAACAGTTTGAATGAGCTCTGACTCAGGTGCTGGCTGGAGCATCTTATTCTCATTTCTCTCCTTGGAAACCCAGCATGCATGCACATCCAGCCCCACCACCCACTTTCCCTCCCCATTACTTTCAACACAATTCTTGGATATTGCCAAAGGAAGCCATTCAGCAGCTACTGTGGGTGGTTTTGTTTTTTAACCCCAATGTATTTGCTCTGGGAGAAGTTCTTTCCTCTGACCCTCGTCCCCAGGCCCCGGGATCTGATTGTTCTTACCTATTGCACTAATGAATCTGATTCTAGGTTTCAAAGGGGAATTTGAAGCAATAGGCAAATGAGGCGTGGATGAATTGGTCCTACAGATACCCTGCCTTAACCCGCCGAGGTGACGAGTCCACACTACTCACGTGACCTTCCACCTTTGTGGATCCCTCTTGGTTTGTGACCAGCTTGTCCATTTCTTAAAGTTGTACAAACTCCTTGACAGAAGTCAAT